TGATCCCTGGTTGGGGAAGATTGCACATGCCACAGGGCATCTAAGCCTGTGTGACACAACTGCTGAGCCCAAATGCCAAAACTACTGAAGCCCGTGTACTTGGAGCCTGTGCTCTGCAATAGCAGAAGCCACTGCAACGAGAAGACTGCACACCACAACTAGAGAAAGCCTGTGCACAGCAATGAAGACCAAGCACAGGCAGAAATAAATATTTTTTAAAAAATTCATTCAAACATGGGGACCATGTGTAAGGTGTAACAATAAAAATTGTGCTGGTAGAAACATTGTGCCCGTCAAGACATGGGTTAGGTGTGTGGCTTCTGGCTAATGGTATTAGAAAATGATGCTACACAAGCACCACTGTGTTAGACCCTGGTAGAAATTTCTCTTCTCAGTATGGTGTTTTTCTTCCTTTCTCAATCTGACTTTGCCTCTGGAATTCTTGGATCACATTGGAGCTTTTCAGCTTTCAGAGGCCCCCTCTTAAGGCTCTCAGCAGGTTCTCAGCTCCTGGAGTGTTTCTCTGGCTACTGCCCTTTCCCCCACAATTTGTCCTGGTATGCAGTGTCCTTTTGGCAATGCTGCTGGTCCAAAGTCAGTACTTGGTGCTTTATGACAGGCAGTTCCCTAGAGCAATGGCAGGACATACACTGACACCTAGTTCTTTAGGTCTCTAAAGAAGGGATAACGAAGAAATCCTTTGTGGAGACAGAGAAGAAGATTCACTTCTAAATGGTACAAGAATACAAATGGCTGTCAAAGTCTGGAAACATTCAATATGATGCTAAATAATCAAATGGTAAACTTTCAGGCAAAAACATCAGGAATTCAGTTGGGATGATAAATGCTGTGTATAAAATATTCGTTCATGTGTTTAAAAATTCTTATTGTATGGGAAGGCATACTATGTATTTGACAGCCTTCTAGATCCTGCTGATTCCATAATAACCAAAACAGAGAACGTTTCTGCCCACCTGGAGCTTATATTTTACTGAGGGAGTTAGGCAATAAATATGCACAAAGTAAGAGGTTTCAGGAGTGATAAAATATGATTAAGAAAATTTAAAATACTGGCCACTAGATGGGGCTCATTGCTTTTTTCATTTCTTTCACCAGTTGCCTCAAAAAGAGAAGCTGAGTGCAGGACACACTGTGTTATGTTTTGGGGCCCTGTGATAGACCCTTTTTTCCCTAAGTTTGTTTCTCTTCCTATTTCTCCCTCCCAATTTTGATTTTTTTCCTACTAGTTGATTGATAAGGGGAAACCTAGTTAAGACATATTATGGCATCATCTGAGATATCTTGGTGTAGTTGGTTAGATCAACTCATTCCAAATCATAGAAATGCTCTCCCCTCAATCTCCTGAGTATTTAATATCCTGTATTTATTTGTTTAATACCTGTATTCATCATTAGACTGTTAGCTCCTTAAGAGAGAAACTTCAACTGTGTTTTGCAGTCCTTGGCAGTGTACCTGGTAGGTCCTCAACAAATATTGTGAATGGATGAATCTCTTTAGTCTGAGCCATTCCTGTTTTCCACATAGTCTCTTCTAACTTTTCTTGTTGTTGTTCAGTCACTCAGTTGTGTCCGACTCTTTGTGACCATGTGAACTGCAGCATGCTAGGCTTCCCTGTCCTTCACCATCTCCCGGAACTTGCTCAAACTCATGTCCATTGAGTAGGTGATGCCATTGAACCATCTTGTACTCTGTAATTCCCTTCTCCTCCTGCCTTCAGTCTTTCCCAGTATCAGGATCTTTTCCAGTGAGTCAGTTCTTTGCATCAGGTGACCAAAGTACTGGAGTTTCAGCTTCAGCATCAGTTCTTCCAATGAATAGTCAAGATCGATTTCCTTTAGGATTGACTGGTTTGATGTCCTTGAAGTCCAAGGGACTCTCAAGAGTCTTCTCCACCACCACAGTTCAAAAGCATCAATTTTTCAGTGCTCAGCCTTCTTTAGAGTCCAACTCTCACATCCATACATGACTAATGGAAAAACCATAGCTTTGACTATATGGACCTTTCTCGGCAAAGTGATGTCCCTGCTTTTTAATACGCTGTCTAGGTTTGTCATAGCTTTTCTTCCAAGGAGTAAGCATCTTTAAATTTCATGACTGCAGTCACCATGTGCAGTGACTTTGGAGCCCAAGAGAATAAAGTTAGGCCATAAATCTAACTTTCTAGAGGGATTGTTTTGGAGTTAGGTTGGAAAAAATCTCCATAATAAAAACTGGGCAAGTTTGCCTGTCTTTTGTTCTGTGACTGGCTCTCTGTCAAGATTGAAGGCGGGAGGAGAAGGGGACAACAGAGGATGAGATGGTTGGATGGCATCACCAACAGATGGACATGAGTTTGAGTAGTCTCTGGGAGTTGGTGATGGACAGGGAAGCCAGGTGTGCTGCAGTCCATGGGGTTGCAGAGTTGGACATGACAGCGACCGAACTGAACTGAACTGAACTAAGTTGTTGAAATTATGCATTTATTGTGGTAATGTTTTTTTATCTCTTTATGTATCAAATATTCAAAATATTTATTAAATCTTTATATTTGCATGTTTTAGTAAATACATTTTCATTGACTTAATAGATTATTGACCCTGGACAAAGTAGGGCAGGGAGTTCTGCTGTTAATATTTTGCCAGTATCAGTTTATGGTGTGTCCCCTTCCTCTAGATCAGTGGAGCATATATTTCCTATATAAACTCATAGAAGGAAAAGTAATAATGTGTCACTTAGAGAAAATATACTTCTTTAGGCTAAAAAGAATTTTGACACAGAAACCCCATAAGGGTCAGCAAATATGGGCTCTAACATGTGGTATCTTTGGCAGATTGAAAGTGTATCACCTTGAATTGTGCTTTTGTCATTATACTTCTCAATGACCCATATCAGATCTACTATATCACAAAGTCAGGGGAAGGGTAGGGGCCTGAGAATCTCCTTATATTTAATACATTTATTTTAATGCATAGCTAGATTAAGGACCACTGGTGAAAGTAACACACCTCCTTGGGAAGACAGCTGGATTTTGTTCCTGGAGCTATTATAGAGAAAGTGTTAAACCAGAGGTTAGATGATTTGGAATCTGTTAAAGAAACTCTTGCTACCATTCTAGAGAAGAAGTTACCTAATTTAGTTTAGCTTTAATTTTCTGATTTTTAAATGATTAGCAAAGAAACCACTATTTGATCTTGAAGGAACAGTTATTCTTTTCTTTCATGAAGTCTCTTCAAGTGATAAAAATGTATTTGACTTACTCTTTTGTTGCAGTGCAGCTTGGAGAGTACAAAGAATTATTTACATACATACTGCATCTAATGTGCTTTGGGTCTCATGTGGTTTCCTATAAAGTTGCAATTTGAGTAAGGAAGTACTACTTAGCACTTGCCCAATTATGGAAGGAGGCATTCTCAATCCTGATGGGAGTGAAGGGGATTCAGTAGAGTAAAAGTCTCAAAACAACCAGAACAAGCAGGTTTATTAATGTAGATCCAGTGGCATTAGCTGCATCCCTGCTTTTCTCTTATCATGTAATATTTTGAAGCCCTGCGTGATCTTTTCACAATGCTCACATATGCAATCTAATTCATATGTTCCTTACAAATTCAAGAAACATAAGGCAGGTATATAGAATTTTGACTAGTATTTCTATTACATAAAGCAAGGGTCTGCAAACTATGGCTCATGGGTACCAGCTGTTTTTGAAAACAGTATTTTCTTGAAACATAGCCATGCCATCCATTTCTGTATCATCGATGGCTGCTTTATGGCAGAGTTGAGCAGTTGAGTCAGAGACCACATGGCTCACAAAGTCATGAATAGTTACTATCCCGTCTTTTACAATAAAGTTAGCCAATTTATGGCTATATAAAGTAAAACATTATTTTCTTGGTGAAATAATTTTAAAAATCAGAAATGTAAAGTTCAGTGAAGTATAATTTATTTCCAGATTGGAAATAATTCTTTATCACTTTAAGAAACTTCAACCACATACTTAGGAGTTTTGACAATTGTGATAAAGTCCTAAGTAATACCAAGAGCATTATTTTACTGGTCAAAAGAAGTAAAAAACAACCCATATTCTCTTGGGGAAAAATAAGCAGGATTTCAAGTATGACTCTTAAGAATTGGGAAAAGATAGCCTAAAGTTTAAGGTTATAAACAATCTAATAATCAATTTAGCTCAGTTTTTTAGCACATCATCTGTCATCATTTTAAGTTCATCTTTGCAAGTTATAAATTGCTACAAACACACAATATATAGTTGTCATCCTGTTACTATGTTTAGTGTCACCTAAAGTTCTAAAGAGTCCCATTAAATTGTAACCTGAGTGAATTGAGCAAGAAGGAAACGTTTCTTTTTCTAGCCCATTTATTTATGATCCAAGTTATGATCATACTTAAGGCTTCTTCCATCTTCCTGTGAAAACTCTGTAGAGATTCTAGATCACTATAGAAGGTGATTTACTTTAGCTTGAAATTCACCACTAAGCATTGCCCATTCCCAGGCCCAGGAATCACGTCACTGCTGACAGACTGTGCAGTCTGGAAACAGTGGGACACCATACACTGTCTTCACTAAGAAACTAGAATGGTTGTCCCTGATATTGGAACCTCTTGTGTATTTGGTCAAAGTCATGACCAACTATACCCCAAGACTTCGGCCTCAGGCTTTGCTCAGTGCCCACTTGTCTAACTAGTGGTCGTCTGGGAGAAGCAGCTCCTGGTGGTGGTGGTTTGTGATGCCTCCTGTTCTGTCACAGAGGTAAAGTGCATCTTGGTACACAGTTGACAATATTGTGAAGAAGATGCACATGATTTCAATTAAAGTGCTGCATGTCCTTGCGAATTTTAGTGTAATAAAAATGCAAAACCAAATAAAATAAAATAAAAATGCAAAACCTAAATATTATCAAATACAGTGACGCTTTTCTTAGTTTTAAACTTCTTGAGTAATGCCTTTGATAAGAGTTACCAGGAAAGCTCTATTCTTTAATTCTTTAGTTTAGGACACATGGGTGCCTTGGCTTTTCCATCTTCTTCTGGAGATTCTGTATTTCGTTTTGAAGTCGTTTGTTCTCCTCTTGGAATCCTTCCTGTAGTAGTCGGGACTGTTCCTAAAAAAGTACAAATGGAGACTGAATAACGCGTATCATTGAGAAAATCTCTAACTTCTGTCTAGTTTCCACATGTCATAGATTTTAAAAAAATATTTAATGTCTTCTTAAAATTTTCTCCATCATTAATTTTTATCATTCTTTCTCTTGACCCTTCTAGCTCTGTGATTACTTTTCCTAAGTCTTCTTGAGTTAAGAAATATTTTTGACTCATATCTCCTGATATGGTGATGAATCTCAATTATCCTTCTAATTTTTTCTTCCATTAATTGTATACAAGCTTTGTGGGCAATCTTAATGAAATGTTTGACTTCAAATCTATGCATTTTGATGTTTAAATATACACACATACACATATAATATAGAAATAAAAGAAGAATTTTCAAAATCTGATGCAGTCTGAATCTTAGATCAGGAAATTTGATCTAAGCTTCCACAACTTGGTGGCAGTGGGAGCAAAATATAGGTGAGGGAATATCAGGGTACCAGATTTGACCATACTGAATTTCTCCATATAGTTCCCCACTTAACACATACTAGAAGCAGGGAACAGAAAAAAAGTAGGAGTAACAGATGGATACAATGGTATAAGAGTTAAGGAATCCTTCTACTTATGAAGGACCCCTTAGGGCTAAAATTCATCCCAGGTGTGACAGGAAAAAAATCATAGATTCCTCTAAGTGGTGAATACAGTTCAGGTATCTTTCCGAACATTGTGACCTAATAAAATTAGTTAGTCTTAACTGAACCTCTCTTTAATTTCCAAAGTAATAGGGACATAACAGTTCTTGCTTCGTACAGTACTAAGAGATATGGATAAGACCATTAAAAAAAAATAATGCCTGGCAGATAATAGCTATTACTGGTTGACAATATAGTGAAAAAGGACTGGGTATGACACAGCTGCAAATAAAATCTTTCAACAACGAGATATTATAGGGGCCAGTTCAGGCAGGCAAATAGGGATCGAAAAGTACAAGTGAGCAAGCAAGGTCTTTCTTCTGGGCTTCATATTCTCACTGCTGTGCCACGTTTGTGAACAGGGAGTATGGCGGGAAAACAGAATAACAGGAGCCACATGGTGTTGCAATTAAATACCTGCAGTTTGAGAGCAAGAGTTCTCTCTTGCTCTTCCAGTAACTGGGCCCTATCCCTGTCCATCTTCTCAGTCAGTTGTTTCACATGTTCCTGATAGCTCTTTTCTTTCTGTTCCATCATCTGCTGGTTCTTTATTTGCATTTCCTCCAGCATTTTTGCTGCAGCCTGTGCAGATTCAGCTTTCACACGTTCCACTGTCAGGAGGAAGAGGAAAAAGAAAAATGTATGTGGAGACCAAGTTGCTTCTTTCTTCCATCTACAGTTACCTATCACTGTTGCTGACTTCATATGCCCTACTCAGAAATGACTTTAGCAAGTAAGAGACATCTTTTCTCATGTTGCTACGGTTTGAGGCTCTTAGGTTCACCCAGCGGAGTTAGTTTGAACTTTTAAGAGCTTTCAGAGCTGTCTAGTCTCTTGACTAGCTCCTCACCTTCAATCAACTTTTCCTTCTCTGAAAGTGTCTGGTCTGTCTGTAGAATTGCATCAGTCACAGACTCCTTGGACTTCAAGTATTCCTGAAGAATCTCCTCAGCCTGGGACCCGGACAAAATGCGGTTAGTAGTAGGAAATGGCTGTAAGCACTCATTCCTGTTTGCCCACCACCTTTCCCTCTAGGAACTGCTCCTCTTGGCCCTGGTGTGCCTGATGATCAGATTCCCTGGCACTCGGATGAGCACATGCTCCAGACTGGCCAAGCAAGGTGCCCTCCTGAGCAGAATCCTTTATAAGAGGTTGATATATATGTAAATAGCGATCCTCTGTTCTTTTAGACTGAGGGCTCTGATTTTGGAGCTGTGGGTGCTGTGGTCCCATATGGCGTGAGCTTGTTGGAGAAGGAAGGCATCATGGAGAAAGTGGATCTAAATAAAGGGGGTAGAGGGAGACTGGGAGGGAGGGAATTGTGGGGCTATGGGGAGCCACAGGCAAAGAGATAAATGATGACGTTATTTGAAATTTTGGATACATCTGGTAATACAGTTTATAACTCAGTTGTTAATTGAGTACAGACTCTTGGATGAGCACATAGGTTATACCTGGTGTAACAGGCTCCTTGTAGTGCTTATTGAATGAAAGTATATCAACCTTGCTTACCTGTATGCCCTTCCTGGGCTCCTGAAGATACTTCTTCTTCAGCTCTTGCATCTTCTCAATGAAGAAGCGATAGCCCCCTGATTTTGAATAAATCCCCTGTTTCACATCTTCTTCTAGAGGACTGAAAATATCCTTCAGTAAAGCAGAGCAACGATCTGATGATACTTTAAGATTCTGATTACAAAAGTCATCTCGCTTTTTGTCTAGCTGGGCCTTTAATGCAAAACAATAGGAAGTGTTAATAAACAGGAGTGAAAAGATGTTGGCTTGATGTTGAAATTTCTGGAAAAGCGTCTCAAAAAAATAGAAGTAAAAAAGGTCTCTGACCCCTAGACAGACTTATAGGCACTCAACAGGACCATATCCTTCCTCCAGATTCTGACTTTCTACTAAAGCCCTTTCACCGTGGGGTGACCTTCAGAGCAGTGATTACTAGCTATATGGTACACCTTTGGAGATAAATTCCAGCTTTTCACATTGGATCAGTGACTACATATGAAATTAATGTGGCTCAATGTAAGTCTGCTTGTGATAACTAAAACTAACATTTTCTTTATTGCCAAAATATCCAATGAGTCTGATAACAATGAGCAGGTAATTTGATTGGAAGCTCTGCTACTTGTATATGCATGTAATGAAACTATAGGGAAAAGAATATTTGTTTATTCATGAAATAAAAAAGTTTTAGTGCATAATAAGATATATCATAATAAAATTGGTTCTTCTTATGATAACACAGATTGGTTTTCACCACTTAAATATCTAGTGAGAATTACTTTTCTCAAAATAAGCACCCATCTCATTTTCTTCTATTATTTTACTTTCTAAGAACCTAGGCTGTATACACTTGAGAAAAAAATTACCGCTAAATCTTTTTGAAACAATTGGTCTATGTCTTTGAAGGAACTCTTCATGAAGACTTCAATGGCCTCTTTCTCAGTGGCCCTATGCAGGTCCAGCAGCTCCTGGAGGGTTTCCGTGGGAAGCTGCAGCTTCTGGCCCATCTGCTGGTCATAGTGGGCAATGGCCTTTTTCACTGCGGCAGAGTTCTCAATCTCAGCCAAGGCCAGGACTGCATTCTCCATGCAGGGCAGATCTCCACTGTTGATGGCATTGACATAGGTCTGCACCAGGGTCTCTAGACCTACAATAGAGAACAAATGATGATGTTTATTTTAGACGGGATGAGGAAGCTTTCTATTCTGTGTAATTCTAATGTCTGTTACCAACCATTTGTCTTACAGCATCAATGCCTCAGCAGCATCAGTCAGTTTGACTGACTTAGACCCTCCTTTTTGGCAAGATCCTCAAGTGGCATAAACATATCAAAGGTTGAGAACCTCTGTTCTAGATAGCAAAGTCCTGCATGCATTCAGTGCATTCACTTTAGCAGCAGGCACTGTTAGGCCAGAAGCCATATCTCTCTCATTTATGTCTGTATCATCAGCCCTGGTAAACATTTGATTAATATTTGTGGAGCAAATAAAAATGAGTCCTCCATTTTGTTTATTCTAGCAGAAAATTGTTCCAGGAGAACCTTCTGTGATGATTTAAGTGTTCTGTGTGTGCTGTCCAGGGTGGGAGCCACTAGCCTCAAGTGTGTGAGCCCTTGAGATATAGCTGTGTGATCAGAATGTTAAATTTCTATATTTTTTATTAGCTATATTTAAATTTAGATAGGCACACTTGTCTAGTGAAAACCATGTTGGATAGGGCAGGTCCAGTTTACTAGGACAATTTTCAGCTCTTAGAGCTTTTATTCTTTGCCTTTTGTATCTTTTCTCAACTATGAAGTCTGACTAATAAAACCTATCAGAAGTGTTGGTGCCACCTAGAATTTAACACGATAATAGCAGTAGATGTGCAGTTTTTAAAGTTGAAGCTACATGGATGTTATCACACCATCCTTTAGTCTTAACAGTGAGAGTGAAGACTGGAAATAGGACTCACGAGGTCCATCCACCTTGATGCCTCCTGAGAGAGTTTTAGTTTTGGAATTGCTAAAGATGTAGGAACAGAAGACCGCAGCTTGTTGCACAAATTCGGAGTCCAGCTCATCGTCACACAGTTCCTCAAGCTGGTTCAGTTTCTTTCTGTGAGTGGGCTGATCAAAGATGAAGCATTTCTTCTTTGGGAAGAACTTTCGGATACAGAGTCGAGGCAGATTAAAAGTTTTATCTTTCGGACTGGTACCTGGAGGAAGAAAAAAGGAGTTTGCCTAATGTAGGGTCTTGCAAACACTTCCTGTAAAGGGTCAAACAATAAATATTTTAGACTTTGCAAGCCAGATGGTCTCTTTTCTGAGTGCTTAAGTCTCCTATTGTAGCCTAAAAGCAGTCATAGAGAAACTATAAATGAATGGGTATGACATTATTCCAATAAAATCTTATTTAGAAAACCAACTGGCAGGCTAGATTAGACAATATTTGCCTGTAGCAATCCATTACCACCCCTGAACTGTGCATGGTTCACACTTGCATTTCTTTTCTTCAAATAAATGACCATTCTACTCCTATTCTTTGGCTAATTACAGCATCACAAGCCCTAAGCATGGAGATATCAATCTAATCACAGCACAGGGAAGGTGAAAAAAAAGAAGTTTATTCTTAGAACAGGGAGAAAAGTAATCTAAAACCAAATCTATTAATTCAGATAGTAAACAAGCATTACTTCTTAGTAATCACCCCTTGAGAAGAAATAGAAACTATAAACAGAAGACAACTGTTGATAGAAAACTAAGGAACAATAGTTTTTAGTGTTTTGTCATCTTTTTACCAATTCTAAGTCCCCTTTACCTTTCTTAAGCTTGAGTGAATTCTCCAGGTACTCATCTGCTGTGATGGACTTTCCATCTGCTTCCAAGTCGAGGGAGAAATCCCTCAGTGTCCATACGAAGTCTGGAAAGAAGCTCACAAAGTCAGCTGAATCCTCAACCCCATCCACATCAGGTGAGGATCTTGCCCTGATCTTATCTGTCAGTTCCGTTACATAGCTGAGTAGCAAAATAAGGAAAACTGGCATGAATGAAGAGTACCCCCCCCAATCCTATATTAGTTCCACATACAAAACATTTGTTTCTCCTTTGTTCTTAACCCAAGTATCCCAAGTATCAATTCTTCAGTAGGTTATAGGATTTTCCCCTTGCCATTGAATTCTTTTTTATATTTCTTGTGTTTGTTTCACCAGGATTCATAGTCAGCTATTTTTTAAATTTTGGTCTCCCCTCTGACTTTAATGTGGTTTGGATCCCAAAAGGATACTGCAGTTGGTCCATGGCCTGCTGGTTGATAGTTCCCATACTATTGTACACAAAAGTGCTGCTCAAGAGTATTGCTAGGGCAAAGATCCAGGAGTCATTCTGGTTGTCACCCTGAAAATCAGAACATATTTTACCAGGATTGTGTTTCATTCTTATGGCACTTTCCTGATCAGCAGTAGTAAAAGGATGCTCATTTAACTAGAGTTCTTTTTTTTTTTTTTAAGACAAATGACCTGTAAGAGAAGCTAAATCCCAGAAAAATGACTGTTAATAGGACTTGAAATTTGAATAGTTTTGTAATTAGTGTTTTTGGTTTACCCTGATTCTCACTGGACTCTTATGATCATTGGCAGGTAGTTGCAAAACAATTAGTCATTGCAGGTGGACATTCTAAGGGCTTAAATATAATCCAAATTTAATTTTTTGTCTTTATTTTTACAGAACAAATGTCTTAGTATGGGGGCAATAATACTTGTATTTATCTCATTAAACAATTGTTGTTCACCTAACACTTTCCACTTCTTATCTTTTAAATATTCCATACAATATCAGAGGCAAGTGTATATCTATTGCATGTGTTTTATAGATTAGAATAACTTGCTAAAGTTATTGAGGTACTGATAGACTTTAAATCCATGAGTATGGCACTTCAGAAGCTAAATCCTTAACTAAAGTTCTTTGCAGGAAAAAATTCATCACTTTGAGTTTATCTGTACTCCCTTTTTGCATCTGTGTTAACTTGCTTAGCTTATAGCTTTTTATTAATTAGGATACTGTCTACTGACCACTATGCTCTTCTTCTAGGATTCTGCCTTATGAATATTTTCCTAACCCCTGGTTCCTAACTTGGTTTCATAGCATATAGACAGAAATGAAAAAACGTGGTTAAACAAAGGTCTTATTTAAAGGAAAATGAAAAGTGTAGAGGACATTCAGACACGAGCGCTTAGTCCAGATTGGAGCCTCATTCCTTACCTTCTCCACATCCCCCAGGCCCTCCGTATCAAGCAGAACTAGAGCGCGGTTCGGCCTCTTGGGATGAGGTACACACCACATCCAGATGCCCTTCGTGTGTGCCTGCACAGTGGAGCCCAGAGAGAAGCCTGCAGGGGGCGTGGGGAAAGAGAGAGTGGGGTCCTAACATTAGGTGGCTCTGGGAGTGGGGATAACGGTTAACAAGATCAAGTTTAGGAGCACTGAAACCACCACAAGTATTAATCTTACAATCAGAGAAACAGGGCAATTAGCATATTGAATACATGAAAAGATTAAATACCTTTCATGATAAAAGCAATCAACAAGCTAGAAATAAAAGGAAATGATCTTAACATAGTAAATAACAATAACAAATAACAATTTAAAAAAGATACAGCCAACATTATACTGAATGGTGAAAGACAGAAATCATCCCTTCCACAAAATTAACCAAAATGAACCAAAGATCTACAAGAAAATGAAAGTGAAAGTGAAGCCGCTCAGTAGTGTCCGACTCTTTGCGACCCCATGAACTGTAGCCCACCAGGCTTCTCCGCCCATGGGATTTTCCAGGCAAGAGTACTGGAGTGGGTTGCCATTGCCTTCTCCAGGGGATATTCCTGACCCAGGGATTGAACCCAGGTCTCCCACATTACAGGCAGATGCTTTACCCTCTGAGCCACCAGGGAAGCCCTTAAAGACCTACATGTTGGAGCTGAAACACACAAAAGAACTTCACGATTTTGGATTTGCCAATGATTTCTTGGACATGATACCCAAAACATAAATAGCAAAATAAAAATACGTAAGTTGAACTTGATCAAAATTAAAACTTTTGTGTATCAAAGGACACTCTTTACAGATTTAGGTACGTAACTCAGAATGGGAGAAAATATTTGCTTGTTATGAATCTGATAAGGGATTGATATCCAGAATATATAAAGAAATCCTACAATGTAACACAAATAAGCAAATTAAAGATCATCCCACATAAAAGAATGAGCAGAGAACTTGAATATGTTTCTCCAAAGAAATTATTCAAGTGATCAATAAACATATGAAAACATGCTCAACATTCCTAGTCATTAGAGATGTACAAAGCAAAACCACAGTGTCTTGTAACAACCAATATTGGAAAGTAATCTGAAACATGTATAGACATAACTGAGTCACTTTACTATACACCTGAAATTAACAAAATATTTTAAATCAACTGTACTTCAAAAAAAGCACTAGTGTAGATCTTAGTGAATCCTAAAAGTTAACAATATTTATAAGAAAGTTGGAAAATTTAACACTGAATGAATTTGATAAATAATTTTTATTTAAAAAACCCCACAATGAAATACTATTTTATGCCCTTTAGGATGGCCAGTATGAAAAATCCAGAAAATAACAAGTATTGATGAGAACATGGAGAAATTAGAACCACTGTGTGTTTCTGGTGGGAATGTAAAATGGTATAGTTTTACATTTCCATCAGAATGTAAGCACCAGAATGGGACTTTCCTTGGAGCTCAGCTGGCAATCTGAGCTACAATGCTGGAAATCTGCAATGCTGGAAATCTGCCTGGAATCTGCCTGCAATGCTGGAAATCTGGGTTTGATTCTTGGGTTGGAAAGATTTGCTGAGAAGGGAACGGCTACCCACTCCAATATTCTTGCCTGGAGAATTCTGTGGACAGAGGAGCCTGGCAGGCTACAGTCCATGGGGTCCCAAAGAGTTGGACATGACTAAATGACTTCCACTTTCACTTTTCTGTGGAAAACAATACGGCCGTTTGTTTTAAAAATGAGCACAGAATTGTCATATGATCCAGCAGTTCCACTTCTGGGTGTACATCCAAAGGAAGTGAAAGCGAGGACATGAACAGATGTTTGTGTGCCCATGTTCTCAGTAACATCATTCATAGTAGCCAAAACAAGGAAACAGTCCAAATGTCCATCAGCTAGATGACTGGATAAACAAATTAGTATCACATACAATTATTCAGCCTTTAAAAGGAAGTGAATTTGACACATGCTACAACATTGTTGAACCTCGAAGACATTATCCTCAGTGAAATAAGCCAATCGTTAAAGGACACTCATATCTAATTCCTCTTGTATGAGACCAATCAGATTTATATACAATATAGAAGGGTGGTTGTCAAGGTGGTTGGGGCATTATTGTTTACTGGGGTACAGAGTTCCTGTTGGAGGAAGTTTTTTTTTGCGGGGGGGAGGAAGTTTATGGAGATGGATGTTGGTGATGTTTACACAACATTGTGGATTAACTTAATACCACAGAATTTTTAAAAACAGTTACAGTGATAAATTTTGTGGTAAGTTTTATGTTATGTATATCTTACAACAATAGAAGAAAAGAAAAGAAAAAAGAATAGCCAATACAAATTTAAACACTTTTTTAAATCTTAAAAATCAGTGGAAATGTTCTTACTATACAAATATCTTTGTAAGAGTCTTATAGTTTATTGTTATATACATTACCTATTTTTTATTACCACATTAGTCTTTCTAGGAAAGGAACAATGTATGCTTTTAAAAAAGAAACTAAGGCAAAGTGCAAAGAGTGGTGAGCTGATTCTTTCAGGTCACAGTGACAATATGGACATAAGTGTGGACTGAAAGTTAGCTTTCAGTATTCCTCCCAGGTCTCTTACTTCCTCTCCTCACATCACTGTTCTGCGTGCTGGGGGTGTGGGTGGACAGAAGGGACTTGGCTGGGCTCTGCTGGTGCCACTCACCCTTTTTCTTCCCGGCCAGCTTGTTCATCAGGTAGGACTTGCCCGTGCGGTAGAGGCCCACGATAGCCACCACCACAACGGGCTGCCTGATGGCAGACAGGATCTTCAGGGCTTTCGGATTAACCAGCAGTCGCCCATTAGTGTTCTCAATGAGGCACTCTGGGGCTGGCATGTGGATCTCTGAGGCCATGTCGCCTTGTCTGCAAGGGAAGAGATGGGACGGATTAAAATTTCCAGTCTAAACAGATCAAGAGCTTTCATCAGGTTATTTTGCATTCAGAAGGAGGAATCATAGAATCCCCCAACATGGCCAAAAGTTGTATGTCAACAGTGAGAGAGATGAGGGAAAGATTTGCCTCCTTTTAGAAGGTTACAGAAGTACAATCAGAGTAGTTCATTAAACATATTGATATGACAGTGACTTACCAGCCAGCATTCAGCTACCCTCATGAACAAAATCTTCTATTTATTTTACATGGAAATCTTTCATTTTGGATTCTCAATTAAAAATTTATACTAGACATTAAATGTAAAGCAAAATAGGATTCAGAGAGATTTGTTGTACTTACTATGTATGAGAGATTTGATATTTATTCATTCACTAATTCTTACTATGAATAAAGAATTTCATGAATAAATGTTCATTGCTTGACATATATATCTCTGAACAATTTCTAATGATTTGAAATGCATGTTTTTCTCATTAGTTATCCCTATTTCTACTGGAGTAAGTGTCCACAGAACTTCTCACACTGCTATTCTAGAAGTGGAACTTACTTTAGCAAATTTTATAAAAAATTTGTGAAACATGTGGCTTGTGAAACACGTGGCTCAAGACTCTTCCAAAACCTTGGCATGGGCTTGTGGAAGCAAGGGATCTGAAAGTTAAAATTTACTACCTTCAGAATAAATAGCCTACAACAATGTGGGGATAAACCTTACAACTGCAAATACTGCATGTTGCTGAAAATTGTTTGTATATATGTATGTGTGTATGTTTGTAAGGGAAAAAGGACAATGAAATAAAGATTAAAAGATCAGGAAGCATATCAGGACAGCTAGAGAAGAAAGTTGTTGAAAGAAAATAGCCATATTTCCAGCCATACAGTTCCAAGTTTTCTGTTTTGTTCTTTCCCCCCATGTTATAGAAGAGAAGTGAAGCAGGAAGAGAAGGAAGAGGGGTGGAAATAAGGAGAGAGGGATGGGGAGGCAAAAAGGGAGGGGAAGTTGAAAAGGAGAGAGAGAGCTGTCAGAGGGTAAGTGATAAATGGAGCTAGTGCCAAGTCAAGTAAATCAGAGGAAGAATTTCTGGAAGGCAAGATTACAACTCCTTGAGAGCCCAGAGAGGGCAGAGTAAACAATGATGGTGCCTTTAGCACTGCACCACGGTAGTCTTTAAAGAGGAAGCTTTTTAGTAAAGTAGTGAGGTTGAATTCTGCTCCTAAGGGGTAAGACATCCTCAAGTTGGCACCAAGAAATTGAATGTAGTGAAACCTGTGGTATTTCTAAAGTAAGAAGTCCACTTTGAAACAAAGTTCACAAGTAGGGCTGAGGAATATGCTGTCTTCATGAATCTGTATCTTTCACTCTGATTTTCAGCTTTTTCTCTGTCTTCAGAGTATCAGGTGGCTATTACCACTACATCTCATTTAGTATTATTTCCTTCTCATGAAAATAACATATTTGTCACCCTGTCAGTCTCTTAGCTGCAGTCAAATCAGTACTGAACAAATATAATAAAGACATTGGTAATATAACTGTACCCCAGTCAACACAGACAACATCAGCAAAGAGAAGGGCAATACTAATTCATTTCAAGCTATTAGATTAGCCCAGTAATTCCACACAAGCACAGTCATGACCCAGGACATGCTGCCACCTGATAACACCAGAATGTCATCCGACCTTGTGTCTCATGGCAGGATGAGCTACAGCCTGTTTTGATGCTGATGATTTTTTAAAATTTTTATTTTATTTTTAATTGCAGGAAAATTACTCTAGAATATTGTGATGGTTTCTGCCATACATAAGCATGAATCAGCCATAAGTATACATATCCCTCCCTGCCAAGCTATCCTCCCACCTAGCTCCCCATCCCAACCCTCTAGATCCTCACAGAGCACCAACTTTGTGTTCCCTGCATCATACGATGCTGATAATTTTTTAGAAAACTAACAAACCCTTGCAGACCCCTTCCCACCCCTGCACTAATCTTATCATGGTCTCCTTCTCCCAGAGTAGGGCTCCTTTAGCACTGGAGAGAAAGATTCTCTGAGGAAAAAATAGAGTTCTTACCTGTTTTCTTCTCAGCTTAGTTGGCGTGGTTCTGCAACTTCTCTGTCTCTCACTAGATTTTAGACTTCTGTTTCACCCACTCGTATCCTAGGTCTTGCTTGCTTTGCTTAGCTACCAGACAGAAGTCAAGCCACCTCTTAACAGCTTTAGAGTAATATGAAACTGAAAGCACTGAGAACAAAGCAGTGAGTCAATAACCATAAAAGGAATTTTTGAAAGCTGTCCTAGTAGGAGGAAAGATGGGTTTGACGCAATTTCTCAACTAGAACCTTCACATTAATTTCTTTGAAAGACATCTTAGAGATCATTTACTACTTGGAAAAGTGTCTATTAGATACTTAAGTATAATGGAATGTGTCTCAGAATTGGGGGTCAGTTTAGGAAACCTAGAAGAGGAAGCATATCAATTTTTAGGTTTAATTTCCCTAAATAATGGACACACAGTGGAACTGGCTCCTCATTTATGCATGCCATAAGTGAGGAAAAAGACACATCTTATACATTTATGAATACACAGCCCCTAGAACTTAATACCAACTGCCCAGGCAGAAAGGAGTTCCATGTGTTGCACACATGTTACATGCTCTGTGCTGACAGCTCCACATGGGTTAAATATTGATATCTCATAACAGACATTTCCCCACCATTTTATAGAAACTGAGACACAGAAAGATTTAATGTCTTGTCTCATATTACAGTACTGTAAATAATCTGAACCGAATCATTCTTGTTTCCAAACCCTCCTGTTTAACCTCTTCTATACACTGCCTTTCCTTGTCTGTTCAGTGAATAGCAGTAGAAATAACAGCTTTATTTCTTGATTGTTCTAAGGAGCACACATGTTACAAGTCTAATTCAATCTTGAGTATAATCATGCAAAATAAGTGGTCTTGTCTCCATCTTACAGTGAAAAAACAGGAAGCCTTGAGGGAGGGTAAATAATATGCCTGGTCAAATTCACTAAGCACGTCGTACAGGTGGGATGTGAATTTGAAACTGTGTTTGCCCTTAAACTCTTCTTTTTCTCCTCCTCAACAGGGCTTCTGAAGGAGAGAAAAGGAAAGTGAGGAGGAAGGGAGATATTCAAGGAGGAAGGGAAATATTTATAAGTTCTTCTGATCTCATGGTACATTGGTGTTTCTCCCTATGTGATCGCCAGTGTCTGAAATTTAACAAATAGAATTATTTGTTTTAATTATTTTATTTTGTTTTATTATTTTCTTTTCTTCCTTGCTATTATCTTCTAAAATGTCTCTGGGTAAGAAGTACTTCAACTTGCTTTGAAAAATATGATTTATCTGGGTCTTCCATTTGCTGGAAGGGCTTCCCTGGTGGCTCAGATGGTAAATAAACTGCCTGCAATGTGGGAGACCTGGGTTTGATCCCTGGGTCTGGAAGATCCCCTGGAGAAGTGAATGGCTACCCATTCTAGTATTCTTGCCTGGAGAATCCCATGGACAGAGGAGCCCGGTGGCTACAGTTCGTGGAGTCACAAAGAGTCAGACACAGCTGAGTGACTAACATGTGCACTTTCAGTTGTTGGAACACACTCAGGTTCTTCTTGTCTTAGCAATCTGTGTATAACAATTTGCTGCATGTGAACCTGTCCTTGGCAAGACTGGTTCCTTCTTTTTCTACTGGTCTCAGCTAAATAGTATCTTCTCATTGAGGTCTTCCGTGATTGCTAATCTCCATCCTATCATCCTGGTTTTGTTTTTTTTTTTACTTTTCCCTATGACTACCTGAAATTCAAGTTCATAAAAGCATTGACTTCTTGTGTCAACTGATGTATTTCCAGCAATTAAAACACAGTTTGGGTATAAGCTCAATGAGTATTATATGTGAGTAAGTATAAAACAACTTCAACTATGAGAGTAACACCACCATTTACCAACTTGAAGTGTAGAAGAAATATTAAAATACTTATGTAAAGCATTTAATTTGTTAATTTACTTACATTTAAAAATTATATATTTTATATTTTATGTATATGTAAATCTTCTGCTTTATTGACTGTGCCATCACTTCATTGCAAATAGATGGGGAAACAGTGGAAACAGTGACAGACTTTACTTTTTTGGGCTTCAAAATCACTGCAGATGGTGACTGCAGCCATGAAATTAAATGACGCTTGCTCCTTGGAAGAAAAGTTATGACCAACCTAGACAGCATATTAAAAAGCAGAGACATTACTTTGCCGACAAGGGTCCATCTAGTCAAGGCTATGGTTTTGCCAGTAGTCATGTATGCATGTGAGAGTTGGACTCTAAAGAAAGCTGAGCACCAAAGAATTGATGCTTTTGAACTGTGGTATTGGAGAAGACTCTTGAGAGTCCCTTGGACAGCAAGGAGATCCAACCAGTCCATCCTAAAGGAAATCAGTCCTGAAGACTCATTGGAAGGACTGATGCTGAAGCTGAAACTCCAATACTTTGGCCACCTGACGTGAAGAACTGACTCACTGGAAAAGACCCTGATGCTGGGAAAGATTGAAGGCAGGAAGAGAAGGGGACGACAGAAGATGAGATGGTTGGATGGCATCACTGACTCAGTGGACATGAGTTTGAGTAAACTCAGGGAGTTGGTGATGGACAGGGAGGCCAGGCGAGCTGCAGTCCATGGGGTCACAAAGAGTTGGACACAACTAACCGACTCAACTGAACTGAATGCTGATATATTTTTCTTACATTTTATAAAATAACTTTTTGATTGAAATATAGTTGATATACAATATTACATTAGTGTCAAGTGTACTACATAATGCCTTGACATATGCTACATTATGGAATGATCATCACAATAAATCTGTAACCATCAGTCCCCATACAAAGTTATTAAAGTATCATTGACCATATAGCTTATTCAGTATATTACATTACTGTGGTTTATGCATTA